TTCCTCCTCTGGTTCCCTCACGAGACAGTATGTCTTTCCCCGATGACCCCCTTTCTATTGTGAAACACTTTGTTGTCAATTGAACATTTCAGCCTGGATTGTCCCTTGCTGACATTTTAATCGCATTTCCAAGTGTACGCCCTTCTGCGGACCGACTGATAGGTAGGATACGGTACCTCCACGAAGTTGTTCATTCACTAGGGCATTTGTTTCGTTGATGCTTCTCGATTTAGAACTTCTCCCTCGTCTCATTCCTAGATCGTATAGCGTGTCCTCATGCCGTGGACGCCGGGTCCGATTCGTTTATTCCGTTATGAATTTTACAGCTGAAGAAGGGCGAAGGTTCGTTTTGTTACCATACTGTATATCTTGGGAAGTAAAGGATCCCGATCATGTAGTTTCCAGTTTTTGTCCTCGGTTCTGTTCGGAGTGATCTATGAGGAATCTCCCGGATGTTTGCGTTGAAGCGCGTTCATTCTTCGCGATCCGATCGCACGATCGAAGCCATCGGATCGCGAAGTGTGAACGTGCTGTTACTGCTGGTGAGGGGACGCGCAGCGCGGCTAAGTCCTGCGCTCTCCGCCCTCTAAGAAAGTTAGTAATCCGTTTCCCTCCCGATCAAGCCGTAGGAGATGGCAGATTTTTGGAGTCCGTGATGCCTCGTCTTAGGGCGTAGAAGAGCGGGCATAGCTCTGCCGCCGTGTTCCCGCTCCCCCTCCAATCACAGTACCGCTAGGAAGTATCCTTTTTTCAGATACCCGCGAAAAGGCTTGGCAACGGAATACCTATTGGGACTGAGAGTGGATGATATAGTGCAGGTGATCATCTGTTTCGTTTTTTAGGGTCTGCACTTTGTGATGTTTATTTGCTTTGCTGACTAAGCACTCAGTGTGACAAGGAGCACTAACCTAGGTGGGGGGGGACCACTCACCAGCGTCTCCCGTCTCCGTATCCCTTCCTCTAATCAAGGCTTAGGCTTGGTGAACACGATCTCTTCTGTGCGTGACTATCTGACTATCTTGGCGACTCTGGTCATCTATTCTCTGAGATTGGGTCTTTTTGAGGAAGTGATACGGAGACTCTGTAAATTGGTGTTCCTCCCCCAACTCCGACAACCTTAGCGCCCGAGAAGGTACCTTTTTCTGAAATTTTTTATTTACTTCAGTTTCAGCCATCAGAGTTGCAACTGAAGAACTCTCACTTTCACTCTCACAGATAATGAACAAGGAACCTGCACGATTCCGTCTTCCACCACCTCCTCTGCCTTCCACATGTGCCAAGGACATGCCCCTGCTAATGATTGGACCTGGAACAGGAGTTTCGGTGTTTCTAGCTTTCTGTCACCACCTTTTGTGGGTTTTACTGAACGTGTGTTTCTACTGTAATGGTTTCCCGTTGACAGTGATTTTTTTTCAGGAATGTGAAGCTAAGTGATCCCAAAAATTTCCCTGACGTGCCTCGTTATCTGTATTTTGGTTGCCGAAACATGGACAAGGATTCTCTATATATGTGGGTTCTAAGACATTCTACTTACTATTTAAGCGTTTTTGGCCCGCTTTTTAAAACTCCCATCAAACTATGATAAACATTTTAAGCCTACGGATAGGCTTGGCGTGACTCTGCTCGTAACCGTAATT